AGTGGCTTTGGGCCCTCCTGCTACCAACCCCCCCAGTTCCCCCGGGAAAAAGAAAGGCAAGCCACGGGGAGCTCTAGAAAATAGCGGCTGCAGCGGCAAAAAGTGGGAGGGGGGGTGGGAAGGTGTGGGGCAACCCTGGATCAGAAGGAACGAGGAGGCCTGCAGAGGTAGGTCTGATTGATGAACTCTTTTTTCCTCCCTCCCTTCCTTCCTTCCTCCCTTCCTTCCTTCCTGAGGATTTCAACCTTGCATCTGAAATAAAACTGAAGTATGCGAAGGGGGGAGGAGAGGAAGAGAGAGGGGGAGTCAGGATAAGCCAACCCCACATTTGGAAATGACAATGCAGCAGTGAAATTTCTCTCTCTCCTCCACACACACCCACCCCCCCGCCACTGGAGGAAGTCCTTGGCTTGACGTGTGGGTGACTGTTCTTTGGATTGTTGCACAGGATTTGGACTTTGAAATGGACCCAGCATGAACGAGGTTTGTGGCACAAATTAATTTTTGTTCTCAGCCCCTGCACTTTTAAAAAAAAAAATGTTAATTTTTTTAAACCTAATGATTAATCAGAGGGAGAAGTGAAATGAAGCACGGGGCTTCTTGTGCAGGTAAGCAGGCAGAACGATTAAGGTAGTTCTGTGTTCTCTTCTACTTTAAAGTTAGAATGTAATTTCTGTTCCCTCGTCTTTGCATGGTTTGAACTTGGCACAAGTTCTTGATCAGCCAGTTTGATGCAGCAGAACAGGGCACTTTTTTCCCCTCGCTCTCTTGCTGGATACTCCTTTTTATTTGAATTCACCATGCTATTCCTATAATTCCTTTGCACCCACATACCCATGCAGTTTATCTTTCTCTCTGTGTGCACACGAACGATGTACTTCAGAAAATTACAAGGAAAATGGCTATCAACAATAAGATTGCCTTCTTCTCAACCAGAGGAAGGTGGACTTTTCCTGAGTGAGAATGGTGATGTTTTTCCCCCCACAATATTCCTGTGCTTTTAACAACTTCATGGCAGGCAGACACTGTGCAGTAAGCCTGATCCTGGCATGGCAATACAGTGAGGAACAATTTTCCTTAATTCATTTCTATCCACCATGCCATTTGTAAATTTGTTAAAAGTAGAGAAGCATGTGAAGGGGGGGTGAGTTGTGGTCACTCTCCTAACAACTAGCAGGTGGAGACTGGGGATTTCTAATGTGTTGTCAATGTTTAAGCCTCTGGGCACAGATTCATGTACCGTTTTATTTCTCTTAAACCACATTCTAACCTGATTGTTGCTTAATTGAGAATAATATACTTGTCCTGAGTTCAGATGTTTATGTGTTTAGGAAAGGTGTGAGAATGAGGAAGCTGTGTGAGATTTCAGATAGATTTAGATGGATTGTCTGAATGTGAAAAGTAGTCTAAAGGAGATAAAGGAGCAGGTCTGGCAGAACAACAAATAAAAGTGAGATTATAGGTGAAGTACTCAGATATGAGGGTGGTTTGCATACACAGAAACAGTGAAGTCACTAAAGATCAGTTCCAAAACCTCTACTCGGTTCTTGGGCTCAGCTGTGACATGTGTCTCTGAGGACTAAAAAGTGAAGTTCAGAACATGTGCACGGTGCATTTCTCCTTACCACTAAGACAACTCACTTTCAGGTTAGAGAGACATTTTGGATTTCAGCAGAGGGCAGGCAAGATTCGGCTAGCTCCAAACATAGGTTCTTGTTTGCAGTATTAGACTTTGATTTTTCTTTAATGGAAAAACAACCAATGTATTATCTACAGTGCCAATAGATTATATCTCTATAAATGGTTGGAAATACATCATCCACAGCAACCGGTCACCTATCAGATCTCCAAGAAGTGTTCCTGGGTTCTCCCCCATATAAAAATGGTAAAAAATCTCATGAGATTTTGGCAATTTGGGAGGGAGGGAGGGAGGGAGCATCTCAGCCACAGAAAGACGCCTTAGTGATACCAGGGCCCAAATAGATAGGTGACTCCTTTCCATTTTAGCAATACAAGATAAACCAGTATGATGTTTCTAATAAAGAAAAGAGATGTTTGCCTTTTATATGTTCAGGGCATAACGTCTTTTCTTTTCTTTTACAACAGCCATACTTAATGTATTATCTGTGATGTACTGACAACAGAGGAATGCAACAAAGGAAAAAGAGTTGCCCCGTGTCTCTAATTGATACCTACTTTGTATGCAAGCCTGACTCCCAGCATTTCCCTCTGTACATTAAATACTAGATCAAGCTAAGCTGCAAAGTTGGCATGTCCTTAACAAAAGATGCGCCCATGTTTTTTTTTCCCTAGAAAATCTGTAATCTTTGGCTTTATTTATGATTAGAAGGCTAGTCATGAAAGCATATTCATTAGCTGGAAGGAAGGAAAAAGAGAGTTGTCAGATGGAAAGACTACCTGAGGGACTGTTTTGTGAACTGGTAATGCAAAGCAAGGCATCAGCCAGATAAATATCTGCTTTGCTTTCCTTTGGGAAGGATACAAGGCAACACGGATAGAATGAGCTGAAATGTTTGAGTGATTGTAGTCAGTTTTAGGGCTCTGTAGACAAAAGAGATATCTACTTCGGCCAGTGTTTCACCTTGTATAGATTAATTTATGCATATCCTCTACCCACCTATTTTGGGCATATATGGTACTGCAGTGCCCATTCATGCCCCAAGCTTGTTGGAATCTGTCAAAAGCAGTTATCTAAGTGAAGTAATATTCTGAAAAAGGACAGAGTGGCAACAGGAATTTGATGAAAGGAGGTCTGCAACAGCTCAGAATGATACATGCAGTATCTCATAGAATCTTTGGCATATTCTTTGCATAAAGAAATGGAAGAGGGAAATTTATCTCAAGCATGGGTAAGATTGTCTTCCCTACTATCACCCAATTCATGCCATAAGAGCAGCTGGAGGAGGTTTATTTGTGGTCCCACCAATGGATTTGGTCTTCAGTGCAGTGACCTGGAGCCGGGCCTTCCCAGTGGCAACCCCACGCTATCTTCAAATTGACAGTTGAGGACAGGCCTGTTCACCCAGGCATTTGCAAGCTACTCAAGGTTGCCTGCCTTTTAGATCACCTATTATATTACTCTTCCTTCCTATGTATTTATCATTTAATATATTTATTGTTTCTAAGCATTGTTGGTTTTCTGGTGGTTTTAAGACTTGTTATTGTTTCTATTTTTATAATTATGATTTGATGGATTGATGTTGCTTTTAACTATTAAAACGTTCTGTTTTAGTCTGCTCATGGGTACTAGTAGAGAATTGCACACTTCATAGACCACTGCCTCTTGCTTCAGCTTTATACTGTGCAGGGTCATCTTGTGATAGGACTTTGATACAGTAAGGCCACTGTGGTTGTAGAAGAACGTTTGTATAAAGTCCTTGCACAGATATCTTTCTCTGGAAATAATTTCCTTGGGATTGATTGATTGATTGATTGATTGATTGATTGATTGAATTTATATGGCTGCTGATCTGGGTGGCATACTCATTTCCATTCTCCTGCCAAACAACCAACTGAATTGCAGCTTACTCATAACCTGTGCTCTCAGTGGTCTCATGCAGGCTCACTCTGCTTGTGTCCTGAAGTCATAGCAAACGCTTGTGCATGCCTACTATGTAGAAACTCACAGTTCCTTTGGTGTTCCAAGAGCAGATTTTATTTTTCAAAAGATGGCACAATGCTAGGTTGCATCCTATGCTTTTGTCTCCGCCCCTGCTTCTGTTTTTATGCTGTTTGCAATATTGTCTCTGTACATCAGAATCCTCCTTTTGTGTCTTTCAAGTGGATTCTCTCTCCTCTTTCCATTTTCTCTTTTTAGCGGCAAAGCCTCCTCTAGGTCGTTATAACATTTTCTTTCTTTTTTTCTCCTCTCTTTCTCCCTCCCTCCCCTGTACTTCCTCTTTTAAGGTAACTCTCCTATTGTCTTCTGCCTCAAGTGCTGAACGTTTTTCTTACATTTTCCATCTGGCAAAGCATTTGATGCAAGGGTTGAAATGACTTCAAATGTTGCCATGGGTGTGGCACCATCTTTTTTTTTTTTTTTTTTTTTTGCTCTCTCTCTCAAAGAGAAATTTGTAGAGGAGCATACAAGGACTCTACGTCTTTCTATATACTGGATACTGAAGTTGATTGGGTTTAAGCAGAAGGTTTAAGAATGTGACAAAATAGGGAGGAGATATCTGCCCTATGCCTGAAAACAGCCCACCCTTTGGCAAGGACAGTATTTGGTGGATAAATGTCGAACAACTACACTCAACTCAATTTCCTGTCTTCTCATAGACATTGTCATTGTTCTCCCATAAGAGTGGTATATGATGGAAGTAAAGCATGGGAATAATGCTTAGGAAATGGTTTAACACTGAGCAGGGAATAAGACAAATGGGCGATATCCCCTTGTTTGCTTAATGTACTTATGGGTAGTTGCAAAAGGTATGGTTGCAAAGTCATTAAAGGTATGGTGGTTGGGACATGAACGGGCATGCACTTTAGTATGCAGACGGTGCCATGTTATTGGCTAAGAACCCAAATGATTTGCAGCAAACGTTAGACGATAGGACACAATCAATAATATATTCTGAAAATTAATGTAGTAAAGATCAAGGTAGTTGCTTTTGGCAGGGACAGTTGAGTGAATGACTATAAGCAATATATAAATGGCAAAAAATATAGCAGGAAGATGCATTTGTATCCTGGTAGAATACTAAAGATGAGCTAATGGATGGAGTAATTTAAAGATTATCAAGATGCCAGCCATGGTTGCTGGCGAAACATCAGGATCTGTTTTCTAGACCACGGTCACTAAACCCTGAAGCCCAACATTGTCCAACAAATACCAGCCATGAAAGTCTTCACCAGTAAACAGGTGGTCTGTTTCGAGGAATGAATGTTTATGTCACAAGAAGCAAAAATGGTGTGTCTAAGAATGTGTTTCTGCCCATTTTGTTTTGGAAGTGAGAATTGGATGTGGCAGGAGAAACATAAAAATACAATGAATGCAGTGGGAATGGGGGACTTCTGTGCGGTACAACAGGAAGAGAGAGGGCCAAGAATAAATAGATGAAGAATGAATGTGGATTAAATACAAAAATGAAAGAAATACAACAAGGTGGCTTGGTTATATAGAGCAAATGAATGAGGTTCAAATCACAAAGCAAATATACAAAGGAAGAAAGAATGGGTTGAAAGGGAGGCGAAGACCAGGAAAGAAATGGTTGCAGGGAGTTGATGGGATCTGCAAAAAAGGAGAGATGAGAAATATAAGAAATAAAAGGGAACCTTGGAAGCAAGGATGGTAGTAAGGATAGAAAGGTATGGAGAGGGATAGTGAATTGTAGTGGTGTATACTAAATTACTGCATTTCTTTTACTTTCCTCTTATTTCACATTTTAAATTTATTTTGCTGATTACTTATTATCCCTTTTCTGCACTTTGCATATCATTGCTTACCCTAAAAGTGAATAGTC